TTTAATGGAAATCACCACATAGGAATAAAAACTCCCAACTGCCTCTCAATTTTTAATTTTTATAAAATCACTCATTTGTAATTTCTCATTTCTCTTTGTAAAATTTGAACAAGATGTCGATCGGTCCATAGCATGAGAGAGAGCTTCAAAAGATCAAACTCAATAATCAATTTGTAAAACCCTATTAGTCGATATTCTTTCAACTTGCTCATTTGAATTTGGTACTTTGTCCACTCTCCTTTCTTGGTGAAGGAGAGAGTTTGACAAGCTCACGGAGTATAGAATGAGCTCATTTGATAAAATAAATTGTATAGTATTGACTATTCAATATTATATCATATTATGTTAACTAATCTTTATTCTGAGTTTGTTTGATAGAACTTTTAACTCCATTAAAAATCAATTTTTTGATCGTTATTTCATTATTCTAACCGTCATTTTTGAATTTTTCTCTTATAAATAGGATCTACTTTATCTCTAGCGATCAAAAAATTAATTATTAAAATTCCTACCAAACAAGTACTCTATTTTGTTATTGTATTCGTACATAAACTTTCTTTAAAGAAAATCAAGAATAAATTCCCACGTCAGATTTTGTCAAAAGAAGCTACAAAATGAAACCCCTCATATGATTAGGTCACCCTTTTTGAACACAAACCAAAGTGAAGCCATCATCATGTCATATGTAACTAGTAAGTGACTTTAAAAAAAAAGAAGAAAAGAAGAAAAAGCTTAAATTGAGGATTCCACGTAAGCCACGAGCTGTGTATATTCTACAAAAAGGGGACACTATTGACCACAACAAAAGATGTAATTAATTTTGATCCCAAAATTTGGCCTCAATTTTCATTTTCATCCCTCATTTTCGAAAACTCAGCTGCCCCCCAGTTAATTCTCCATTCCCTCCACAGCATTCCCGTCGCCGTCAATGTTTATGTCAATTCCGTTAGCTTCAATTTCGCCGGCGTCATCCAGCCACCTCTCTGCGCCAGCGCACTCCGTCTTGTGGCGGAGCTTCCAATCCAGCGCCTGACAAGCGCGGGAGCAATAGTTCACTGCTCCGCACACAGAGCACCGTCGAAACTCATGCCTCCTAGTCTCGGGCCTTCCACAACCCGAATGAGAGCACAACCGGAGCCCCGGACCCGGACTCCCTTCGCACCCCGAGAACCAGTCGGATAAAAATCGATTTACCGGATGAGTCACAGGCGCCGGAACATTACACCCGAAATCACTAAACAAAGGGCATCCTGCGACCGCCACGTGGCGCTGAGGCAGCAGGGGATTCCAAGTAAGCCACGAGCCGGCGTCAGGAGCAGGCGTGGCCAAGACGGCGGCTAGCTCCCTCGCGTTGGCTTGGACGAGAAATCGGCGCCCATCGGCGATGTTCTGCTTCACTCCATAACCGTCTTGCAGGCAGTGGCCGAGCTCTCTAAGCGCGTCGACATGCCCCAAGAAAGCGGCCCGTGCGCAGAGCGCAACACCAGCTCTCAGATCCTTGTCGTTTTTCGAGCCGCCGCTACCGTTGAACTGAATGACGGCGAGCGAATACAGCGCCGCCGCGTAAGAACTAATCGCCGCCTTGGCTATTAAAGACGCACCGCTTCCTCGGTTCCGCAGACAATAAAATCGAATCTGTGGCCAATAAATAAAAGTTATCGACAAAATCCTTATCACATTTTGGAAAAATTATTTCTATAACAAATATATTTACCATGCCGAGAGTGTAACAGGCTTCAATATTCCCAGAATCGGCACAGAGTTTGAGAAATCGGTGAGTTGATTCAGACCAGTTCTTAGCTTTGACCGCTACCATTTTCTCACAGGCTTTGGATAACACTAATGAATGGAGGCCTAACCCATTAAATCTTCTGCATCTGCTCATTGAAAAATCAACAAAATAGTTTAAGTTTTACAGAAAAATCAATGCTTTTTGTTGGAAACATAAAAATAAGGAAGAACAAGTGCTTACGTTATCAAGAAGTTAATGAAATCTGCAGGGCAGGAAGCAGTGGAGCTGAGTTTACAGAGAATACAGAGGACGAGATCATCAGGCAAGGCATCGAAGAAATCAGACTCTCCTCTGGATTCAGGGGAACCCTTTAATCTTTTCCGGTAGCCCATTTGCTCTCCGGTGAAATGCGTTCTCCTTCTTCTTTTCGTCTCTCTCTCATTCATCATATTCACTTTGGGATAACAGTGCCCTCTTCTTGTTCTCATCTCACACCCTCTCTCTCTATATGTGTGTGTGTGTGGATGTTGCAGGGTTTTTAGGTGTGTGATTCTTCTTTTTCTTTGTATGTATCCAAATCCAAAGAAGAGAAGTGAAGGGTTTCATATATATGAGAGAGGGGAACGACAGGGTAGAACGTAAGCGAATAGCGTAAGAGGGTTACTTATTTACCAAAAATGCCCCTGATAAATGATGATTCATTTCTTTATTTACGAAGGCGAAGGGAAGATGGTGAAATGGCGTTGACTACCTCTTTTTATCGACTTCAAAAAAAAATATGCATACTGGCGAGGTTCGACTATTTCCATTCCCGTCTTTTGTAGGAATTTTCAGATTGGAATGAGGTTGGGATTATTTGGTAGAAATCAAAATTTTAATTTTAATCTAAATCTAAATTAACAGATAATTTTAATCACATTTTATGATATTCATAACTTTTCAATCATCCATTTCATTATCTTATTAAAATCCAATTCAGAGAAGGAAAAAATCATTTGTACCGAAGGGGGTTACCGAAGCGTGTCCCTCCCCTCACAAACACACGGGCCCCGCGTGTATTTAATAATGTCGAGCCATGATCCCCATCTTGATGATGTGAGTGGGGTGTAAACGATTGTGTAAATGATTATGTACGTGTAGCATGGTCCGAGAAGGATGTAGGGCATGTTCCTCGTCCCTTGTTGTTCCGACTTGTTTACGTAATGAAGTATGCCATGACCGTTAACGGATGTCAACTCCTTTTTGTTTGTTTACTCTCCGTTTCAATTCCAAAATGAAATGAAATTATATTAATAGATAACTACAATCTCGTTTAAGAGAAGATTTAAAAAAAAACTGTTTTTATGCTTAGCCAAACTGCCCAAACCCACATTCAAGAAAGGTAATAAAGAAAAAGACAATAAACCACAATAATGTGTGGAAAATCACTTTATTTTTATTGCTATTTTTTCATTAACTGAGAGTAAGAATTAAGAATACAAAATATATGTTTTATGGATTTTTTAGAAAGTTAATGTTTCTTAGATAATTTTGTTTTTCTGATCATTTAGCCAAAACATAATTCAATATCGAAGTTTATTGGTCTCTTAGACCTTAGTTATCCTTTTGTGATAGAATAATGCTAAAATTCACAGGGAGACAGTTTTAACCTATTTTTCTAAGTGTAGCATTGCTCTTTGTTATTTTCTATTTTTATGAAAGTCGTGGATAAGTTGAGAGATGCTATGGATTTCAAGCACTAATTCAGCCACTCATGTCAACTCAGTGAGACCCACGTCTCATAAAAGCATTTGTAAAATAAAAACTCGTGGGACGGTCCAAATTTTGAATAATGCTAGACGTACACTTTGGATGACATTCCCCGTATATAGAGGGAATATGTGCATTGGTGGAAAATACACCAAAGTGTACCCGTGGCAGCTTTTCCAAATTTTATGGGACCTACATTTATTGCTTTTTTTTTTTTTTGGTTCTTATTTATTGCTCATTAGCTTTCAAAAAATAAAATAAAATTAATTTTTATTTTCGAGTTAATTGTTCCAATGCTCACTAAATTTAGGCACCCGTCTTAAATTGCTTATTATATTTTAATTTGTCTAGTTCTGGCCATTTCGCGTCTCTATCGAAATGGCTGATCTGACATACGATTTTTACATGAGGTGCCCATCACCGTTTGAATTTCCTATAACAAAAAAGGGAAAGTCCACGCAAGCAATAAATCTTTAATCGCTCGTTATACTTTAATGTATCTAGTTTTGACCACTAAACTTTGTCGAATGTTTCTCATTGAAATCACTTACATTTTGTGTCTCTAACAATATAATTGATTTAACAGACAATTTTTACATGTGACGCTCAATCACCATTTGAATGTTAAATCAGGAAGGAGGAAAAGTTCACGTAAGCAATGCGTCTTTGATTGTTTACTATAACTTTGACAAGATTTTTTGATTGCTCGCTATACTTTAAATTGGTCAAGCTTTGGCTACTAAATTTCTCGAAGTGATGCCGACTTTCCGGTGACAGATTTTATGGCAATCAGTTATGAGTTTTTTTTTTTTTTGGGTAATAGAACATTGATTACAAAACATAAAATTATAAAAGGGAGTTAATTCTAAGGTTCAAATACATTTATCCACAGTGGAAATTCGAGCAAAGGGGAGAATCGTTGCAACTAATATAAAACATATGCATCAAATTTCATTCATTATATATGCAATATTTAAAATCTGTTTGTCCAAATTATGCATTTGACATGCGCACTAACCAAAATAATATCACCAAAAACCCCTTCCTTGTAAGGATCTGAGCAAGCGAGGAGAGGTGTTTACTCCAGATTTAGTGTTAATGATGTTGCTTGATTGATACAAATGTGTTTGAATGTAAGTATTAGACAATGAAAAGATTTTTGGTGGATGTTATATGAAATGCATAACAGATTTTAAATATTGAATATGTAATGAATGTTCCACTTGCAAATGGTTCTCCAGTTTGCTCAGGTTTCCACTGTGGAAAGATACATACATACATACATATATATATAAAATTAATGTCTTATTTACAATTTTATATTTTGTAATTGCTGATCTGTTGCACATTTGTTGAAAAAACTCATACAGGATTGTCATAAATCTGCAAACTCGAAACTAACGTCACTTAGAGAAGTTTAGTAGCCAAAATTCGATCAACTTAAAGTATATTGATTAATGAAAAATGCTTGGACATTCAAACAATGATGGGATGCCACAAGTGAAACATAGTATGCTAACTCAGCTATTTAGTTTAAAATGCGAAACGAAAGCTATTCCAGTAAGTAACATTTGACACTTTAAGAAGTCCGTGACCAAAATTCGACGATTTAAAGTATAGCAAGCAATTCAAAAATGTTTTACTAAGTTTAGTGAGCATTTAAACAATTAACTTCTCATTTCTTTATTCTTAACCTGCTTTAGGGCATGTTTGACTTGAACACACAAGAAAAGAGAGCCAAAATTAGCTACATTTGTGGCTTTCATCGACAATATCAAGAACAATAATGTGGAAAAAAAGCTACTTTATTTGCATGATAAGTAGTACCAAACACGTTTTAAGTGTGGCGATATGTAAATTAGTCATTGCCTTATTTTCTATATGGGACACAAGTTCGTTAATCCAACATATAAATTTCTTTTAAAAAGTACACTTTAAACTTCAATTTCTCATTCACGTGAGCATCAATTTTGGTTAGTAAATATATAATTTCGATATTCTCATATAGGACAACACGAATCCATTTAGATCTTCTAAAACGAAAGAATAGATCACACTCAAAATTATTATGTCAAAATAGTCCCATAAATAAGCTACTTTTCCAAGAAAACATGCTCTAAGAATATGATTCCGGGTGCACCAAGATCATTGTTGGACACAGATTTATGAACAAATATATTAACTTGTTTAATAAATAATATGATACTATAAATTTTCCTCACCATTTAACAAAATTAAACCAGCATGGTAACTTGTTGTAGGCCCATTAACATTTAATTGAAATTAATGCTTTTAATGTTTTTGAGTTTATTAGAATTAGGTACGGCTAACCTATAGTTGTACGACAGTAGGAACAAGTTAATGCCAAGATTTCTTATTTACAAGAAAATCTCATTTAAACTCAACTGTAAAAACATTTTATTTCTAGCTTTCAAAAGACTAAATTTGGGGTCTGTTTGATATATATATATATATATATATATATATATATATATATGAATTTTTTAAAGAATGTATAATTATAAAGTAATTGAATTTATGAATTCACATGCAAAATTATTTTATTGAAAGCACGTGTGGTTGAACTTGTCTTGACTTTCTTTTCAGAATAAATTACAGATGCCGTTTTTCCAAAATAATTAGACCTGCCTAGACTTTCTAATGACTTATTAATTCAATTAACACTGAAATAAAATGCCTATTAATTATCAATTTCATCAAAATGGTGAGCATTGACATTTATTGTTCCAATCAATAAGGTCTAGAAATTAAGTATTATTTATAGGGTATAATTACTTAGCATTATAACAATTTGACCAAGTTTATGCGTGATAATCGAGATCTGCTGTCCAATTTCTACTGTTCACCCAATTAATTATTGACACATTATTTTAAATTTACATATTGTCAATTTTAATTTCTCACTTTAACAACTATTTAACATTGTTAAATACTCTCTCTTACAAAAAGATGTGTCAATAATTAATTGAATGAACATCAATTTAGACAGTACATCTCAAATCATACTGCATATGATTGTGTTTTTATTTTCGTCCTCTTGATTAAGGATGAAGCCAGAATATTCGTTCAACGAGGGTATAATTTAACCCACGTCGAACATTGAGTTTTAGTCATGAATTTAATGATGATAAAACTACAAAACAAAATCGCGATAATACTAAAAAATGACAGTTTATAATTAAATGTGTTTCTTGCAACTTTTCATACTTTGATATCTTTGTACAATAACATTATTATCAACTAACTAAAAGCAAAAATAAGTAACGGAAAGCAAAAGTAAGTGAAGTCCAAATAAAATCATACCTAAAATCAAGTAGTATCGTGGTCCATTGCTAATATTAAAAAATAATAATAATTATTATTATTATTGGGTTGGGCAATGAGGCTCCGCCCCTACTCTTGATGGATGGCTTTGGTTGGACAAATTTTCAATTATTTGTTTCTTTCTACTTCTGAATGATAAGCCCGTTGAGATTATGTTAGTTAAAACTTCGATAGTTTACATATTGTGGATTTAACACGTTAAAAAAATGGCAAATCAAGAAGCAAGCTTACTTGAAACTGGTCCCAAAATCGAAAATCTGACCACGCAAATCTCAATTTGACTCTGTAAATTAGTTTTTCTCTACCAGAGACCCTCTTGGAGTACATTTCAAGTGTAAATTCCACCTGATTTTCTCTTATATCGAGCAATAACGAGATTCCTAACATATGTGCACAGCTTTACGATTCAATTTGAAAATATACATAAATTATTAGTAAATAATTAAATTTTATTTTTAATCACACATTAAAATAAATCCACAAGCACTATCCATCGTTCATTTATATATATTTATAAATTGAATCGTTTATAACTTCTTCCCCTAATGGATATAATCATTTTTGCGGCCATTGTGATTTGTTTATATGACATACAAAAT